TCACATCTATGTGCAATTTTTAACTGTTCATGGAAAAATTCTTCTATAAGAAGGGTAAACTTTTACCTTTTCGTGTATAGGTATAATTTTGCAATGACTAAAAAGGTTGTGGTAATCTGATTTTAATACTATCCGGGACTATAGTTTTTAAAATACGTAATTGTAGTGGATAAATACGTTCTAAATGTGATCTGTACGTTCTACCATAGCTAGACAAACCGTATGCTACTTTTGACTCTACCAGTGATTTATATAGCTGTATAAGTATTTTATACGGAATTTTATATTTAATTATAGAAAATTTTGCAAGCATACCACGAAGTTTATCACATACATGCTCAATATGCTCTTTCCAATTAAGGCGACTATCCGACTAGGTTTTCCACATTCTCATTTATATGCCAGGGTACATTTGCAACTTCTATCTGCTTTGAGAGTTTTTCTTGTTCTAGCGCTTGAATTTGTTGTTCTAAGGCGCCCACCCTGGTTTCCAAGTTGTTATTTTTGTTACTTAGTTCAATGTTCTTTTTTTCTAAATTTTTGATTGTTTGTTTGAATGTTTCGATACATCCCATTACTTCATCAAGTTTGGCACTATGAAACTGTAGGGAGTCGTTTACTTGCCTCATTTCATTTCTCATGGTTTTTTCTACTTCCCTTGAGATGTCCTTTAGTAGTTTCGCAGAGTCGAGTTGAGCTAGATTTTCAGCATCCTCTTCATCTTCGTCCTCTGGTACAAATATTGAAGATTTACGCTTCGATGACTCCTGCACACATTTGTACGCGTAACTTGAAAAGCTACCGGTGCAGTCATCGCTGTACTGAAAATTACAGATGCTCGCAGCCATTTTATTTATTTAAATGTCAATATGAATGTTGCAATTAACATGAAATATAAGATGATTTTTATTTTCAAATTAATACATATGTATACATTAAAGTGTCTGTTTGTAATTTCCAAATACCAGCCTTTTACTAAATGCATATGAAAATTTGTGCTGTATTTATAACCCAAAACAAACACAAATTTTAAAATAAATTGTCTATCTGTCTGTCTGTTTCAGCTTATAGTTGACACTAGTAGATAGTTGATGTTATAAGGAGTAAGACAGGCTTCTTTTATGAAATTGGAAATATGGAATTTTCTTTTAGAAAATGAATTAAGATTCCGCGCAAAAAAAAATTCAAATCTCTAAAATCCAATCGTAATAAACAACACGCTAACGAGGTTGTTTGGCATTATGTAACTATTATATCATAATTTATATTAATCTTTAACTTAATTTTAAATGCCTTGTAGTTTATTAAGAAATATATTTCGGTTTTAATGTTTATATCGATAGCTAATCGATAATTTTTGCTTTGCTTTGTGTGTTATTAATCGCCTTTTTAGAATCGATTTAACTTTGTTCCATCTCTAGACACGCCTAACTGTAATCTGTCACCCGCACCATGCTATAACGCAAAGACATGGCGAAATAATATGTGATAGTGATAATATGTGAATATGTGTAGGTAGTCAATATAATTTTTATATATGTTTATATTGGGTAATTACTACTATAGAGGGAATCCGTAAAGAATGCATTAGTATTTAGAGAAGAGTTTTCTGAATAAAATACACGCCAAATTCAGGTTGTAGGGTATAAGACCTTTGCCTGTCTTAACTGACGAATCGTAACGACTACAACAACTAGTCTATGAATGTAGAAGTAAGGAGTACCAAATCCCATAGGAGAATACCTTGAAAAAGTGTTCATCTGTTAGCGGTAAATAACAATTCAAAAACTTTTCGCTACAGCGCTCGAGTTGCTACGGGGTATGTTAAATCGCCGTAAAATACGTTGAGAGTGATTTTGAAAGCAATAAAATAATTATTGTAAAAAGAATTTTGGTGAAAGTCTGTGCAATAAAAAAAATTATAAAAAGTTCTTTAAAATTTAGACTGTAGCTACAGTGGCGCCACCCTTATTTAACGCTTTCCTACGGACGCTTTTTTATACAGAGTCTGTACTCCTTAGCTCTACACTCCATAAACTAGTCAATTAAGTTTTGAATCATGGAGGTTAGAGAGAAGGAGAAAGATCGCTACGTGCTAAAGCATAGCTCGCCTGTCCCTGAACTGCCGTCGCGTCGGTTAGTACTATCTGCGAAGTTAGCTGTTATGAGTACAAGTAGATGAAGTTAGTTGAATAATGTACAAATTTTCTTCGCGGCGTTGGTGAGAATAATCGTGCTCATTAATTTTTTAATTTTTGACAGCTAGAAAAATTAAAAAATGGTGAAATATTGTATTGTGCGCAGACGTGCAAGTGGTTTAGCATTTGATCGGAAAAATAGACTGAAATAAACTTTTAGTGAGACAACTTAGCGATCGCAGCGACTCACTTATTTTATTTCTGGGACTATTTTCTACAGCGATCGTTCTCCTTCTCTCTAACCTCCATGTTTTGAATTATGTATTAATAATGGGTAACTCTTCTACTTTATTTGAAGATGAGGGAGTTCCTCATTTTACATTGTGAGGTACTCATGAGGCACCCCTTATTGGATATGGAGAATCGCTCGTCAACATAAGCACCTTGCAAGGCAAGTCGCCTACATCCAGAAGCTTTTAAAAAGCAAGACTTATTATTACTACAGTTTATTTTTGTTGTTTATCAATCTTTTTCCAGGTATCAACACCTCACTCATAGAGTCATTAGCTCACTTACTAGTGACACAGTTCATTCTGTCATTTTATGTGTGGTAGTGAATAAGTGAGGTGATTCAAATTTGAATATTTTTTTATTGGATAGGGTAACAAACGAGCACGCCGTCCACATGACGTTAAGGGTAAGTGGTTGCTGGGGCCCATAGACACCTACATGTATCATCGATTACGAATCAAAATGCAGATGCGTTTTCACCTGTGAGAACTAAAATGGAATGTCTCATTTTCAGTAAGAAGGGTCTCCGGTTTCTACCACTCACCATACGAAACAGCAGCAGCATGATACTATTTTACGCTGGTATTCAGTGAGAGTGTCGTCATCCCCGATCAAACTAACCCATTCGTGCTACAACTATACTTCTAATATAACTGCAGCATGTCTCTACCACATGTAAAAATTAAACTAAATTTAAAATAAAAATTAGAGTAACTTTCAATTTGCTGTCACGAGGACCTCAAACGAGGTAACTCATGAGTGAGGGGCACATCCCTATTGTGTATGATGATTTTTTTCCGGACTTCGATAGGTCATAAACTTGATTAGATAATATAGTAAATTATTTTATTTATATCTCTAATGGTGACATAAATAGACGCTTAATAATTCCATCAACAATTTGCCACAACAACTAGTCAATTTAGTTTTAAATTAGGTAAGATGATTTTTTTCCAGACTTCGATAGGCCATAAGCTTGATTAGATAACACAAAGAAATCATTATAACAAAGTAAATTATTTTATTGATATCTGTAATGATGACTTAAGTAGACGCTTAATAATTCCATCACATATATTTCGCCATTGTCCTTTCCAGTTAATTTCTAAAACAATGCGTACTATATTGGCGGAGAGTATTAACGTCCTTTTCTTGAAACGGAACGCATGCGCTTTACCATTTACTCATCGCAATCGCAACGCAGTGAACTTATCACCTTAGTACGAACTCTAGCTTGTATCGTCGCGTTTTCATTCGTGATCGTGATTGCTTTATCTGTATATTATAACCTGTTCTACTGTTCAACCATTTTTTATCTTTAATGGTCAGTTCTATTAAATTTTTCTATAAGTAATATTTAATAAGTTTAATTAGATACAATAAAATTATTTTTTAAATAAAATATAACCTTAGACAATTAGCATAAGTTCTTGAAAAGAAACGGTTTGGGGCGTGTTGCTAAAACTAAACTTTCGTTATGGCCGCTTAGCAACGTCAACTTCATGGTGGTCGTTTTTGCGAATTATAGCGATTTAGCGAGCTCTATCTGGAAATTTATCGCTTGTTACGACTGAATATTATTATACTGTCGGACGACGTGAAATGCAAAGAAGGGCGCTCTCGCACAACAAAGGGGAGTCAATTGTTACCTCATTTTTGTTTCAAGTTCGTTTAATCATGTATAGCACGCTGAACTCGTTCATGTTGACCCCGGTATAAACTACTAATAGTAATGACCTGACTGACGTGACAATATAATTATTCACACACTAAAGTAACCATACGCATAAGTGTTGAGTGTGTATAGTTCCGTGATATTGGTGTATCGTTAAATTTTCAGTAAACGAAAGCAACCAACAAGGTAACTGATGCACGTTAATATCGATTCGTGTTTTATAATATATAAAAGGAATTCTATTATTCACTGACGGTCGAATTAGGCAGTAGTTAAGTGACATTCGTATTAGGAAGAAGGGGTCTTTTCGTTCTAATTTTAAACTTAATTTATTGATAGCGCTAATTATTAACCAACTTGTATAACCTAAACCTAACCTATTCTCATAATTGCATGAGAAGTATTTGTGAGTAAAATTATTTAATAATGGTTTGATAATGTGTACACTTGTGTAAAGAGGAACTAGGTAAGTAGGCATTTTTAAGTATAACAATTCATGCTAATTGTACTGGCTCTTTGTAACTGCTTAACTAAATCTACACTAATAATGTTTGATATTGAATGATCTGTATTTTATATTATGAGATATATTTTAAACACATAGTTTTGAATAATAAAGGAAAATAATTATAAATTGCATGATTAGGAATGATAAGAGAAATGTTTTTAATATTCATTTCTATGAGTATTTCAGCTGATAGAATGATTTGTCTTTTTAAGTACACACCTAAAATCTATCTTTGTGTGACCTTAAATAATCTCATATGCTTGCATTTATGTTTTGGAATCAGTTTTACAGCCACTGCTGCTGCTCTATGTGATAAAATAAATATTAACTAGAAGATTTATTTTAGTTGGCAATATATTCAATTGTAACAACAGGTGTTATTTTATAGATAATAACCCGAGAGCAGCTTACATTGGACGAACAAGGGATGACAGCGTCAAGAAGAGTGGCAATGCAAGTAGCAATAGCGATAGCCATAAGCGAAGTAGCATGGAGGGGCTAGCGTCGGGTGATCCCTTTGATAGTAAAGAGGCCGCCTCCCAAGAGAAAAGCACCAATTCTGAAGGGCGAGACGGTATGTAATTTCCTATAAGGTATTTTAACCCTATTTTCTAACCCAGGCGAGGATGGAATTACAGCGGAGCTTCTGAAAGCGGGTGGAACACCGGTACTTGAAGTCCTTCTGAAGCTCTTCAATTCCATCCTCCATGGTGGCACTACTCCGGAGGCGTGGAGCAGAAGTGCAGTGGTCTTGTTCTTTGAGAAAGGCGACAACGCTCTCTTGAAGAACTACAGACCGATTTCCCTTCTGAGCTGCGTCTACGTGCTGTTTTCGAGAGTCATTACGAATCGTCTCGCACGCAGGCTCGACGATTTCCAGCCTACCGAACAAGCCGGTTTCCGAAAAGGCTTCAGTACCATAGACCACATACGTACCCTGCGTCAGATTGTACAGAAGACCGAAGAGTACAATCTGCCACTTTGCCTGGCGTATGTGGACTATGAGAAAGCCTTTGATTCCGTCGAAATTTGGGCGGTGCTACAGTCCCTTCAGCGGTGCCAAGTTGACTGACTGTATATAGAAGTGCTGAAGTGTTTGTACTGTAGGGCTACGATGGCTATCTGAGTACAGAACCAGAGTTCGAAACCTATCCAACTGCAGAGAGGTGTAAGACAGGGTGACGTTATATCCCCGAAACTTCACCGCTACATTGGAAGATGTTTTCAAGCTACTGGACTGGAAGGGATACTGTATTAACATCAATGGCGAGTACATCACTCACCTTCGATTTGCCGACGATATAGTCCTCACGGCAGAGTCGCTGGAGGACCTTAGCACTATGCTCAATGACCTCAATAGTATCTCCCAACGGATAGGTCTTAAGATGAACATGGACAAAACAAAGATCATGTTTAATATTCATGTCACACCTATGCCGGTAGTTATTGGGAGCACTATGCTCAAAAGTTGTTGACGAATACGTTTACCTGGGACAAATAGTCCGACTAGGTAAGTCCAACTTCGACCGAGAGGTCAATCGACGGATTCAACTCGGCTGGGCAGCGTTCGGGAAATTACGACACATCTTCTCGTCAGGTATACCTCAATCTCTGAAAACTAAAGTGTACAACCAGTGCGTGTTGCCAGTGATGACTTACGGATCTGAGACGTGGTCCTTCACTGCTGGCCGTATGAGGATGCTCAAGGTCACTCAGCGAGCTATGGAGAGGGCTATGCTCGGAGTTTCTCTGCGTGATAGACTCAGAAATGAGGATATCCGCTGTAAAAATGGGGAAGAAAGGTTCTCGAGTGGCAGCCTCGTATCGGTAGGCATAGTGTAGGGCGACCCCCCACTAGATGGAGTGACGACCTGGTAAGACATGCAGGAAGTCGATGGATGCAGGTGGCTCAGGACCGTGCTTTGTGGCATTGCTTGGGGGAGGCCTACGTTCAGCAGTGGACTTGTGAAGGGTTGTAATGATGATGAACCCTATAAATCAAGATCATTATTTCTAAGTATATGTTTAATGTTTACTCGCTATTTTTTTGGGTAATTTTTTATATGTGAATAGTTATGCAGGTAAAAGTACACATTTGGCTTTTAAAGGAAAACATCTGTTACAATATTGTAAATTGACATATGGCAAAAGCCTTATTTTAAATTATTTAAATATATTGTAAACAAATATTATATTTGTGATCTTATTGTAATACTTAAAAAAGTGTTGGTTTAGTTTAGTTTATGATAGGCTATTTTCTGCAACTACACATCTAAGCGTGAATTTTGTGTGTGGGCAGGAATATTACAATTATTCGAGCCATGAAATCTTCCTGAAGAAATTCAATAGTCCTTTGATGTTGTGAGCAACTTTGGGGAGTGATCCCGATGTGCCGAGGTGTTTGTCCCTGTGTGTAGCAACCGCTGGACATGGCAGCAACATGTGGCCTGCTGTTTCCTGCTTCTCCATACATGCCCTGTACATAGGACTATCTATGACACCTATAGTAAATAAATGCTTTCTAAAGGAGCCATGCCCTGTAATATATATTACATATATTGTATACATAAACTATAATTTAAAGTAAGGGATAGCTTTTAAAGTCAACCATGCACTAATTCTGTTTTGTTAATATGTGTATATGGCTCTCAGCACTTGTTGCTATCCTGATCTGTGGCTTGTTCAACCTCAATAATAAAAATGTGTTTAAATATCAGCCTTGTTTAGCCTTCACTTAAATAATGCTGTAGACATGTTGATAGTAGAATAAGTTTGTAACCCCTGTTTATCATAAATTTATAAAACAAAATGTAACAATTAAATTATATGTGAGGATACCAATTTTAAAATGTCCTTTTCTCAGATACTGATTATTGTATATTTAATGAGTTCAGATAAACATGTAAATATCAACAATGTATTGGATTCATGTACCAATCCAATATTTATAAGATTAACAAACTTAAAAATGTTAATATTACATTTTTCTGCAGACTAAAAGTTGCAAATAGCATATTGTTCCCTGCAATTTGATAATCAGGCATGAAACTACTAAATATTTGCATGTTTAATTCAAGTTTATAAGACATAATACACATCTTGAATAATACAATTTAATGAGCTAAAATTAAAAAGGTCATTTATGCACCACACTAAAAAAATCTTTGCTAACAGAAATTTTAAGATCTTAATTTATTATTCTTTATAAAAGAAAATATGTTTCAAATGGTTTGTCCATGATGAACTCTTCAAGTACTGAAGCAATTTCAATGAAATTTTACATACTGTGTGCAGTTTGGTCCAACTTTGGGGATAGGATAGTTTTTATCTTGATAAGCTAGTATTTTATAAGTAAATTTTTCATGATACAATTATTGAATTGAAAGTGGATATTTAAAAATTAAAGTATTCATTAATTTTATTTTTAATACCTTTCTCTTAGCTGTTTTTAATTTCTAAAACTTTCAAAAATCCATGCATTTTAATATTATTCCTGGTGATGGCAACTTGAGTGATGATGATATTTCTTCTAACAGTGCCGATGATTTTGAACCTAACTCTATTCGCCAACCTCAAAAAAGACACATTCCTGATCTGAACGGGGATGGCTTTGAATTCAAAGATAACTCAGAATTACCGGAGATAATGCAGCTAGACTCACCAGTGGAGTTCTTAAATTTTTTAGTTAGGGGCGGCACTCCCATCAACTTGCCTAATTCTCCAGTACCTGCAAAAAACCTCGAAAGACTTCTGCCTAACATCAAGAGCTTCCTTTGATATTATTCTATTAGTAATTTAGCAATTACATTGAAGTGTAATCAATTTTATTAATTAAAAATATATTAGTTACAGATATTTTAATAATTAAAATTAGTGATGGTACAAAACGTTTTGTCCTATTCATCATTATATTCATTACATTCATTACATTAGGATCCTTGTCCTCTAACACTTCAAATGGACCATCATATAACTTATCTAACTTACTACAATTTTCGTTAATAATAAGTATTAAATCACTCTTTTTGGTAATTCACTGAGTTCACTTTTTGTCATACACATGTTTTCTGAGTTCTTTAGTAACAAGTTTTCACGTGCATCATTTTCAGGAACTTGTAATCGATACTTTAATTCCAAGTTATAGTCAGCAGGATTATACAATAGTTTTATACCACTACTTATTCTACAAGGAAGTTCACTTGGTTTACCAAAGACAAGTTCGTAAGGCGTATATTTCGTTGAAGAATGCACTGTATTATTATAGCTAAAACACCAACATGGAATCCAATAAATCCATGTGTCAGGATATTTATCACACATAATTTGCAAAAATGAGATCCTAAATGCTTGTGAGAATTTTCGAGGGCACCAATAGACTCGTGATGATATGCTGTAGAGTTTAATTTTTCAATTTGCAATAACTTACATATTTCAGTCATAGTTGAGGATATGAATTCACTACCCCTATCCGTCGCTATTATTTTAGGTACAATCTTAAAATAAAATTATTAACAAGTGTTCTAGCAATAGTAACAGTTTCTTTTTAGTTTTTTTCGCTTTGTATAATGTTTATGGTCTACTAGCATATGCAATGGGTCTTAAATCTTTATAGCATAAAACTCCCCTAACTGCGAAACCTGAGGCATCTGTTTGCAAAATTAATTTGTTGCTGTCCGAGAAGTCCATGTATTGTAAAATAGGTGCAGATGTTAGAGCTTGTTTTAAAATTTGAAAAGAATCTTCGCAATTTTGTGACTATTCGAAGGTGACACCTAGGTAAACGCTTCTTTTGGTATTGTCCTGTGTTAGTTGTGAAGGCAGTCACCTTACGGCTATCAGGGGTCAAAGTCAATTGGTAAAATGATTGACTAAGATCTAAATGTGAGAAGTAAATGGAACCAGAATGCGAATCTAAGATGTCAGTTATGTTAGGTAGAGGAAAGCGATCATCTTGTATACAATCATTTAATTTTCGGTAGTCAATAACTAATCTCCATTTTTTTGTTTTTGGTTGATCCGTTTTTTTTTTGGGAACTAACAAAATTGGGATTAACCCTTTGTGAAATTGAATTACAATTATTTTAATGGTATGTAATGTACTGATTCACATCATGGAGGGATATTTAGAATGTCATAACTTATTTTAGAAGAATTATACATTTTAATGTTACAGGTTGTATTATTGTCATTCTGTAACGTTAATATAGAATTTTTTAGATCAATATTCGATTTGAATTTATTTAAAAAGTGTAATCCGAGTATTCCATTTGATTTACAAGGAAGTTTATCAAACAAACTTTGTGTTCATAAAGGGATCCATCTGGTGTATAAAGCGTTAAATAAGTATATCCTTGAGAGCGGATTTCACCACCTATACCATTAATGATAATATTTTCTTGATAAGTATTTATTCCACTTGGTAAAAATGTTTTTGAAATAGCCAATAGAGACGTCTGTGTCGATTAAAAATGAACATTTCCTATTTTCGAAATTAAAAAATAAATATTTTACATTTTGATTATAAGTCATAACGGAATATTTATTGATGAATCTCATTCAAATCAATATTATCATTTTTTGTAACATCGCTAGAGGTAGAACGTCAACATGCCTCGTCTGTTACCCCCTACAATGAGTAACTCATCCTTAATATGAACTTGAACAAAACTCACGCGAACCCGATGGCCCGCTTCTAGGATTGTTGTTAAAGGGTTTATTCGAGTTACCATAGTTGTTACCATAGTAACCCCTATTATAATTGTAATATCCACATCTAGGAAAACGTGTATATCTTCCACGGCCTCTGTAAAATGATTTAGACTATTTACCCCTCATGTTAGGCACTGTATGAGAACTAGATGGTTGTGCGAGTTCCTCGTCTTGTGCAGCTCTCACCGCGTCCTTCAACTCTGAGTAGTCTGTAGCTGTGTAATCATGCTTAAGCGTTTATTTCGTAAGCCATCCGCGAATTTTTTAATTCCAACTTTTCGTTAATGGGTCTTAGAATGTCTGACTGCGTGTTAGAATCAGCCTGTGAACTTGTGACACGTGACACGACAGCTTTGTGAGACGGCCTGTTTATTACTGCTCACGCTCTATCTATAACTTGCAATGGATACTTATTTATATCAAACTTCGAGCTCCACTACAATCCGATTAGGAATCAATATGCAGATGTATTGTCACCCCTGAGAACTTACGTGGAATGCCTCGTTACCAGTAAAAATAGTACAGTTTTCTAAAGTTACCAAATTAAACAACAACATTAAGCTGCTATTTCACGTTGGTATTCTGTGAGAGCGTGGTCTTTCTCCGGGTAAGCCGACCCATTGGAGCTGCAGCCATAATACAGCTCCAGTATGGCTCTACCACATACAAAAATAGTAAAAGAAAATTAGCTTTAAAATCGTCGATTAGACCAAACAATTCCCGTAGATTTTAAAATTGGTACAGTTATTCCTTAAGGTGTCCAGATGAATATACTAAAAGTCCCCAAGGGAGGACACAAACCGACAGGGGAAGGGAAAGGTCTCTTTTTCAAGTTTTTTTTTCTTGTGATTCGAAAACTCTATAATATCTCTTCAGTGGCTTCTACATTAAATTTCCTATATATTATTTCTAAAAATTTTTACTGTACGATCAACACTTTAGGAGATACAGACTATACAAATATTTTTGCACAAGTATGCCGACTTATCAATTGAGTGGTGTTTCATCTTCGTCATCTTTATCAACATCGATGGGGGTCCATTACCATTACTTGTGCAAAAACATTTGTATAGTTTTTCAGAATTAAAATTTGTATAACCATTTTGTTCTTTATGTGTTTGTAAAAATTTCGCGATACATATTACCTTTCAATAACTAAATAGTTTTCTCAAAAACTAGAGCTATTCACAACATATATACTTACTCTTTTATGACCTTTTAACTTGTGTTCTCTTCTATATAAATTCATTATAAATAGGCCTAGTTGTAGGTGAGGTGTGGAAGAGTAAGCCTTTCAGAAATATAAACCAGTCCATATTTATTCATATTTTGCCATTTTGAAACATGTGACTAGAAAAAATTAAAATTAATATTTTTAAAATGTCTTCAAAATTAAACATTATGATGATAATCCACTATAGCATGTAAACTTTGACCAAAAAGAACATTAAATTAAGAAATTGGCATTTTCTTGTAAAGTATCATCAAACATAAAATATAATGAGTAAGACAAACAAAAATGAAGGTGTGAAATGTGAGCAAAGAGTATGGTATACCTTTAACTGTTTTGTCTGCAATTATACAATAAGGAGAAATACAGGCTACTTGTTATCACTTATGCTTAACTTGCCTATGATACCATTTGCTAACAATTCAACAATTGAAGTTTCACTTACTGTTTTATATCCTTAGTTAATGGTGGGAGACACAAGGTAAAATATATTCATGATTGAACGCAGTTGAATATTTTAGGAAAACTTTCTTTCATTTTTCTTCAACCTTGTTACGAAGAGAAATTTAAAACAAATTTTACTAATATCTGTACATGTATTTATAGTGTTAGTGGAACTGCACTCAGTAAGTATATTGTTCAATAATATCAGAGTTAAAATATTTAAAAAAAAAAACAGTATTTGCATCAATTTCTTTTATTTCTGATTTATTAAGGAAATTATTGTCTTGAATCAACAATTTATGTGTCCTGAATATATTATTATTATTATTACAAATGGTCCATATTTACATTGTCAATTGGGCTTTGACAATCAAAATTGATCACTGAAAATTTTGCTATGGTTCTAATGAATTGGAAGGTTGACATCTGTTTGATTTACTTTTTAGTTCCACATTTATAATAATAATATTTTTGTTGATATTTCTGTAATTGATGTGGTTGTTAAGATAACTACAGTTACAGTGAGAATACCTTATAACTTATTGCAGAGGGAGCGCAGTTGAGTAGCGGGGTAGTCTCTTCTACTCAAGACGAAACGGTTACTGGTACGAAACGGACTTACCCTGATGAAGGACAAGAAGCAGAAGTTAATGAGGATGATGTCTCCAAACGTAAGAAAAGGAAAGAGAACGAAGAAAAGGAACCGATGGCGAAACCCGCTCCTGTTGCAAGAGGAGGACCTGGCCGGTACACTCAAATACAAAATACTAAATCTTGTACATAACACAAATTGGTATAAAGTGTTATGAAACTGAAAATTATATTATATTTTTGATAAAATGTTATGAAACCAAGATTATTTAATATTATTGATTTTTGCTAGGGTTCTTACTGGTAACAAGCCACCAGGACCAGCCAGCAAAACCGGCGCTGCACCTCTAGCCAAAAGTGGAGGCAATCAAAATGTGGGCAAAGGTGGTTCAGGAGGGTCTACCTCAGGAAAAGGAAGCATGCAGTCCCAGGGGAAAGGTGGGGCTGGTGCAAAAGCAAATACCCAGGGTCATCAGGTAAAGAATTAACATATCTGTATTTGATAAATAAAACTCATTCATGAAATAAAAAAATCTAATTGTGTTTGGCTAACAGAAGAAGGCCATGTTGCGTGGATCTGATAAGGTAAGATAGATATCAATTACGTTTATTGTTCATTTGTGTTCTGCATTGTTTTATTTTAAAAGTACTGTCATCTATATCTGTGTATCTTGTATCATATAATTCAGCAGATTTTCGTTTTCATATATTTTACTATACAATATTTGTATTTATATTTAATTTTTTAATAATATCTTGAGTCTAAAATTTAATTCAAATTTATTTATTTAAATTTATTCTAATTTTAATTTGATAATTAATATATACATAGGGAAAGTCATCAGGTGGAGCAAAATCTGGATCACTAGGAGGCAAGCAGGACAGGAAGAGCCCAGTTGCTAGTCCGAAAGCTAATCAATCTAAAGATAGTGGCGATGGAGATTCAGAAGAACAAAAGAGTACAGAATCGGCACCAAAGGTTCCACCACTTAAGATTGTTATTCCAGGAGGCGCTTGTGGCTCTGGCAATAGGAATGAACAAGAGGGAGATGGTATGGTTTTATTTATTTCTTATTATTTTGCAATCAATTATAGCTTCATTATTTATTTATAAATTATATGATTATACTCCACTTTATCATGCATAAATACTAAACATCTACTGCTTTTGGTGAAATTACACAATTTCAATATATTTGCCTCTGTTTTCTTACTTCTTATTTCTATGTCTCCCGTCTTAATTCTTCTTTTTGTTCTACCTGTAGCAGTCCACTGCTGCACTTAAACCTCTTCCCTTTATCAGGTGGTATGACTGAGTTATAATGGTTGACAGGTAGACTGACTAACACAGTACCAGCAATCTCGAACCCTTGATGCTGCTACCCATTGCCAGTCCTTTTAATTAGTTAAAATTATTGTGGACAAAAGGTTCTTGTGTAGCAACTTCATACCAGTAAACTGAGTATAGACCTAGTAAGACATGCAGGAAGTCAATTAATGCAGGTGGCTTAGGACCGTGATTTGGCACTCTGACACTTCTTCTTATACATGTTATGTTTAAATTATAGAAAACACATTTTTTGTATAATTTGAACTATCTAGCAGATCTAAAATATTGGAACTTAATTGCTGATATATATTTGTTTGACATTTAAAACAACTTATGTGGAATTTTGTCATTACTTCATTTTTCATTAGGTGGCATAGGACAAAGAGGTAGTGGCAAAGGTCGAGGAGGTGCATCAACACTGCCCTATGTTATACCTTGCACTAGTAATGATACAGGTCAAACATCTGACAGTTCTGATGGTAATTGTGATGATAAGAGGCTTGGTGAGGGTGGTAAGGTATGTAGTCGTGAAGTTACTATTTATTTGAATTAACCATTTTTTGTATTTACAAAGAAATTACTAAAGGGGGAAAAGCTGCACTCACACTGACTACAATTTTGTCTCATGTATGTTGTACTGATTTTATAATTTCTTATCTAGACTGGACAAAGAGTGCTTCGTTCACATCGAACAAATGATGGAGATAAGGAGAAAGATAAGGAAAGAACATCACCACAAACTGGATCTAGTGGTGCCCAGAATCAAGCCCTAAATGCAAACAAGAGTCCCCCACCTTCAGGATCTGTAAGTTCGAGCTACACTCACCAATTATTAAAACTGATTTGAAAATGTGATATCTAATTAGCCTTCACAAATTTTTAGGGACATGATCATGAGCATTCAACTTCATCTGGCAGAGCTGAAACATCAGGTACATTTATACGGATTTTTTTAGTTCATTTTCAAGGCTTTTATTTTATGTTTTGACAGCTATAACTTTTATTTTTCGTATTCAATGTTAGAATTTTATACCATATAGCAGCTCCTGGTCCTTCTGTAGAGTTACATCCGAGGAAGCGTAAGATCAAGGCGTCTAAGGACAGTCACTCGCGGGAGAATAAGAGCGAAGCTTCACAGGAGAACAGCAGCCTGGCGCACAGCATCAGCCACTCTAACCCCTACCAAATGTATATTCACATCCGTAAACAGGTATAGTACTGAGCTTTAATATGTAAGTATATTAGTACACAAAATGACAAAAAGTAAACATGATTGGCTTTTCATGTCAATATTTTTTCTTCTTCTTTAAACCCCACCAGAAAAATAAAAATCTTCGCCATAATAATGGAGTTATTCAGGAAACTGATCATTATCAGCAGTAGCTAGCTTAGTAGAAAATCAAAAACTGAACAAACTACCAAGTTGTTAGTTTTATTATATATTTTCAAAATCAAAATAGTGTCCATTTACATCGATACATCGCTGCATCCGATGGAATCTTTGAGAAAAGCACTTTCCCCTCTCGTCCTTAGGGGTCTCTTCGACGGTATTTTGAAACGCAGCCACTGCTTCCTCGGCGTCCATAAGACGTTGTCTGCGAAGTTTTTCTTTTATTTTCGGAAATAAATAAAAATCGCAAGATGCGAAGTCGGGGATATAGGGCGGGTGACCCATTAATTCCACGTCTGACATCGTCATATAGTCGATTGTTTGCTTGGCGGTGTGTGACCAGGCGTTCTCATGGTGAAAGAGGATCCTACTGCGAGGTCATTTCTCCCGAACTTTTTTCAAGACAAGTGGCAAACAATTTAAAAAAAATACATGTGGCACTCGGTGACTGCCGCGGTAAAGCTATTGCATAGCATTTTTTATCAACTTATGCAATTATAATTATTTATTTATTTTATTTATGCAGTTAAGTCTTTGATATTAAATCAAGTTACACTTTTTGAGCGTGGTGACCGATAAGAAAACAATTTTTTTCGCTTATTGAATAAATGAGGAGTTAATATTGTTTAAAATATTTTTAATATATTACAATACATGTAGGTTATTCAGGAATTTTTATCATTGAGTTAGCAGCTAGTGTACTCGCATACGTCTAGTCGCACGCACACAAACACCATGACGAAGTCTGCCGAGTGCCGAAGTCTGCCGAAGTGAAACGACGTTAGACGATGCACGGCTTTCAACGCCACACCTCCGTGCCCGTCGGAGTGGGGAGCGTAAGGTTTTTTTTCGTTACGGAATTTCTGGATTCGGTCCCCGCGCTCATGGCCCGCGATAGAAGCTATGCAATAGCTTAAAAAATTATATATTTTTATATTATTTAAACATTTTTTTTCCTTTTTATAACTTAGATTGATCGCCGTCAAAAAAGTCTGTTCCCTGTGAAACCAAAACCACCAAAAGATTTCAACAAGTATCTTATGAACCGTTGCACTTATACGCTACAAAGTAATGTCAATCCTGAGCCACCAGTGGAAATACCTATCAACATGCCTTCGCAGATGGTTAATGAATTTCTAACCCAGGAGAAAGAGAGGTATCTTTAATTTATAAACATTTACCTAAACTGAATTTGACCTTACATGAAATATTTTAAATGTCGTAACTGAATGTGATAATTTCACTCGAACAGAACTCGCTTGCGTATTCAACACCTCGTTGAGAAGGAGAAACTTGTGTTGGCTGTCGAACAAGAGATATTAAGAGTACACGGGCGCGCCGAACGCGCTGTGGCTAATCAAGTAAGTAATAATACTAAATTAAATGTTTTTCTAATACAATAATTACATAACAAATTCTGTTTTAACATACATGGGGATCGAGGTTCGTGGTATATAGTACTAAGATATATAATATATAATGATAATTACAGTTAGATATATTGTATCCATATTTTCTATCATTTACTCGTATTAATGAATACTTCTGTTTATGCCTTATAAACAATAGTATAATGTTTGTTGTACATGATCATGTGTCAATTAAAGGAAAGTAATTGTAACAAATCACGGACTGATTTACTTAAAGGAATATAAAAAAAGGAAAAAAAATATGTAGTTTTTACGTTTTGTTGATTCTGACCATTATACGTTATTATTTTATTTTAAAATTTTAAGTCATACAAGAAAGAACTTATTTTAATAAATTTTACTTATACCTTACCTTTTGTTTTCTAAATGTCATTAATTATTATTATTGAATGAAAAATAATATAAAAAGTATTATTAAATAATTAACTTCCTAATTAAAAGCGACTTTGTGGCAAGGAGAAAATTACAAAAATAAAAATGCTTGGATATACTATATAGGATATAGGATTATGATTTGATCGATCGCATTTTTGATATATAACAAAGTAGTGATAAAATATGTTGCATATGAAACTTTTGCAGAAGTGAATAGCATTTAAAAAAAATTAATCTTTACTAATTAACATATAATAATAATCACATGTTAAATTTTGCTTCTGTTCAGGCTCTTCCATTTTCGGTGTGCACGATATTACGCGACAAAGAGGTGTATAACGTTCTGGCACTAGATCAGGAAGAGAAGCGCAACGCGCAGCGCTCTCGATGTAACGGCAGGCAGATTAATTCGTGGTTGCAGGAGGTCGACGATAAGTGGGAGAAGATCAAGGTTTGAATTTTTTAATTCTTTTAGGGGGATATTTATATATTATATTTATGCTTGTAAAGGAAATGCCAAGATCTCTTAGGTTTCAATGGATCACAGTATAACCATCTAGTATCTACTTAACCATTGACAGAGAGTAACATTTTTTCACATGACCAATGACTGTCACTACAGTTGTACATTCTAATTCTAAGTATGCCAGCGCCATCTCCTGCAGTGCTTGTTTTCAGATGGATGAACATGAGATCTGCCACCAAGATTATTATGCTATTTAAAAAAGCAAATCCTGACAAACCTGCCAAGCAAGGACTGAATAAGTTCAGTCCCCATAGTAAATAACTTAATTGTCTGTACAATTTAGATAAACTTAGGTTAGTTTTTATCAAATAGCAGTGTAAAATATAGAAACACAAAAAACTCCTGCCCGTCTACTGGTTTATTTCCCTCTTTATGCCTCTTACCGACACCCACAAGACAATACGGAGTAGTGGATATTCTTACACGGCCACTACATGGTCAGTTTTTTTAAAAATAAAATATGGTGGTCAAACGAGCAAACAGTCCACCTGATTGTAAGTGGATACTGTGGCCAATAGACATCTACATCTTTCCTCGATTTGGAATCAAAATGCAGATGCGTTGTGACCCCTGAGGACTAAGATGGAGTGCCTCGTTTCCAGTAAAATGAGGTTCCGGTTCTCTAACACTGCATACATACAAAACACTGCAGCATTAAGCTGCTATATTTACGATGATATTCTGTGAGAACGGGGTCCTATCCGGTCGGGCCGACACATTCGTGTTACAACCAATAATATAGCTGCAGCATGGCTCTACCATGTTCAAGAAAGAAGTGGAAGAGAATAATGTTGGTCATAAACTCAACACAACATTGTGCTGGTAGTAAATATTTGGATGGATATACCCTTGATCACTCCAATATTTTGTTGTTATCCTTACCAGTACCTAATACAAACATAATTGGGTGGTTGACAACACCATTATTAATTAACCACATCATATAATATTACCAATTTGCTACTTTTAGTCGTGTCTATAGAAGTTTGGTATATATAATTGGTGTTATAGTATCCAAAAATATGAAAATATGATGATATTTGATTTCAAAACTATATTACGTGTTTCTCTAGAAATCTCTCATTTTTTTTTAAATTGGTTGTAGCGCTAAATTCCCAATGCTATAATATTAATAAAAAATTTATTTTTTAACCGTCTTCAAAAAAAAAAAGGAGTAGGTTCTCAATTGCATTGTATTTTTTATGGGTGTTATTACCTCGGAACATTTTTCTAGGTGAACCGATTTTGATGATTCGTTTTTTATTTGAAAGCTGATGCTTCTCATATACATCTGATCAAGATCTGACTAGTAGTTTTTAAGTTGTGATGCGTATTTAATTGATATCCACTACATTAATGATTATATGAATTAAAGAGCCATGGTAGCTCAGATGGTTAATGCTCGCTGTAAATATAACAGAACGCGAGTAACCCAGGTTCGATCCCCGCCGGCACCAATGAAATTATTAAATGCAATTTTAAGTGCTGATTTACCACGTGCTCTGCGGTGAAGGAAAATATCGTGAGGATACCTGCATGTCTGAGAAAATTTCGAAGGCATGTGAAGTTCGCCAACACGCAATTGGGGCAGCGCGGCGGACACTTCCTTGCCCTAAAACCCTCTCAGAAATGAGTGGAGGCCTGTGCCTAGCAGTGGGACGTATATAGGCTGTACTTCACTTTACTTTTACATTAATGATGTTCTCATTTTGTTTATATTGAAGTCGGTTGCACAAAATGTTTAATTTTATCACTTGTTCGTAAAACAGGAAGGAATGCTTCGACGTCAACACACTGAAGCAGAAACTTTGCACGCCGTACAAATGATGGGCTGGGAATGGAAACTCAAAGAGCTAGGGATGTGCGACTACAAGACCACGCCCAAAATAGATCCAACTCACGTGCCGCAGATACACGTGTCGAATTTTGATTTGCCCGCTTGAATTTAAGTTCATATTGCCTGTGTTTACTTAAGGCCGTCGTCTCCCCGTCGGTAACTATAAGTTTATTATTACGATCTATTAACACTATCCTATGCTATCAGGTTTGTAACGAACTTCGTGTATGTTTTTTTTTTAATTTTATTTTTAATCTCATCTATTGTAACAATTTTACAAATTTGACATGATAATAATTTAATTTGCTGTATTGTGTGGATTATATTTTGATATACCTGTTGTTACAACCTTTACATTAAGATCGATTGGTAATACGACTCAAGCGGAGCTACAAAATTACATTTTAATATCTCTTTAACTTCTCGACCGTCGTCGATCCTTTCTAAGGGCTCTCCCGCGCCCAATATTTCGGTAACTGACAATCTCACGCTATAAAAAATATCTCTATAATAACATCTTTATATATTATTAAAGATTGTCCGTTCTCGAAATATAATGCCTATTTTTTATTTTAAGCCAATCCTTATCAGTTAAGAATACTCCGGCCTTTTAGGCCTACGTAGAACATGTAGGTGTATAATTATATCTTAAATGTTGATAAAGAAACAGCGACTGATCAAGTAAACTTATATCTTACGGTGCAATATAGTTTAAATTGCGTTTAACTCTTTCAGTCACGCGTTTACGTTAATAATATTTTGAACATTTATGTTTTAGTTTTAGCATCATTTACAACTAAAATATCACAGAAAGTATAGAAAAAAATCTAGGTATTAAGGCTTTCGAGGAATGAGATGGTTAGTAACACTAACCACCATGATGACTATTAATACAAATAAAACTATAATTACTATGTATATTGTTTATTGATATTATAGGTTATAACAAACTTTCCCGCAGGCAAAACTAACTTAATTTTTTTTAATGAAAATTTGAAATACATGTTTTACCTTTGCATAGGCAAAGTGGCACTTTAGATGTATTGCACTGCCATATAGTACGCACTTGAGACATTTTAGTGCTACAATTGCAACATCTGCTCGAAGTGCTTCTCTCAGGTTGATGGTGACTACATTCTAGACGAAATTCTTGAGGGACTGTAGGCTAGTGACGTCTTATAAGTGCAGGACCTGGAGAATAGGTTGCGGAACTACGATTGCTGTTTCGGCGCCAGTAAAGCCTGGTATACACTTTGTCTGAACCCTTTCAGAGTCAGTGTGCTAAGGTCCGGGTGTGAAGAGGGCTGCAGTTCTCTATAAATTAAAAAGACGACACAATCATCAAGAAAGTGAAAAAAAATCCTATGCCAAGACTTGTAGGATTTTCCGTCAACAGCATAATTTCCTTTTGGTAGATCGAATTTGTCGATATAATTCATGTTAGAGTTGTTGTCTAACGGCTTCTGGACAGGACACTTCAATACTGGTACCATTACGCTCTCTGTGGTTAACTTTTTCGACATTCTTGTGATCCCTGATAGTTTGATAAAATTATTTAATTTAATTAGTCTTTCCATTTCAGAAAACTTACTTTTGTGTCACTAATTTGGTAATCATGTTCACCTCTTTGTAAATGCTTATCTTCTTTTAGTATTGGTAAGAACTTTCTGCTTGAATTCGCCGTTCCATGTTCGAAAAGTTTGTCCATAAGTACAAATGTGTGTCCATCCCCTAGGAACATATTTAAGAGCCAATCATGCTCTCATTATGGCAACAAGTCTGACTATTAGGTCTTTAGTTAGTGTCCTGGCTACTCCAGGCCTCGCTGATCATCTTCATCTGTATTGCCACGAGGATGTCATGAACTACCTTCTTCGCTACGTGACCTGAATGCGCAGAAGTTAAGGCCACACCCAAATCTGTTTTAGCAGCGGAAGCGTAGCTCGTTTTTGCAACCTTTAGTTGTTGTTCGAGTCGCACTTTTTTGTGGACGTGGACTCTTGCAGCATCCTTTTGGCTGCTCTTTCCTTCTTACTAAGACGTTTGGCCGCTCTGCTTCCTGGCGGATGCCTTAGAGCTGGTCCTTGCTGCCCGCCCACTACATGAGCTAGAGTTTTATCCTTCCCAGTTTCAGCACGGCTACTGGTTTCAGTCCCAGGCATCGCGGGGGCAGTAGCTTGCCCTTGGTGCTGCTCTTAAAAGTATCAATTTTTCTCGCTGCTTATTCTTTTTCTTCACCTTTGCGCTACTGCCTGCTGGTATAGACCCACCTGATGGTCCGTCAGGTTGGCAAGTCACCTTTTTGGCCTTGGCCTTGGCCTCCACTTGCCAGGCACAAAAGAAAAATGTTCATTATTTAATGAGCGATAGTTATATTCAATATTTTATTGCATATATTAAGTTTAGAATACAAGCCCAGGGCGCTGGAAACGATGAAACTAAAGATATTACATTTAGTGTTATTGTTTAGATTAACACGTGGATTTTTGGGGTCTGGGAGTGAAAATAACAGAAAGTAACCTATCCCATAAATAATAGTTATTACATTGAATTCATGAAATTTGTATATATTGATCAGTAGCTGTGACTTTATTAGAATCGATATTTATCAGCGTATATATGTTTAAAAACCTCTACCAGACTTTGCTTTTGTATAGGACTTAAAACATACTATGCAAGTAAATGTTACTTAGCAATTTAAGGTTCTGTAACAGAGTCTAACGATTGAAACAAAATGAAATATTGTATACTGTTTTCTGCAGTTTTTTCCCGTTTCACAACAAAGCTTTCAAAGCAATTATTTGTAAACATCAATAAAAATCTTGACAAATAACTAAATATGAACAAAAGCGAAATCTGGTGGACGTAACAATGTTACTATATATATTTACAAATATGTCTAAGAGCTTGTACATAAACCTTTCACAATTTATTGGTGACTATTTCTTTAATTATTTTAAGTATTGGATTTTAAATAACTTCGAATTTATTACATATTAAGATATTAAAATCAGGTTTTTTGCACTGTCACTCATGAATATTCTCTAGAATTTGTCATTGAGCTATTATGTACTACGTACTAGAGGCGACACTGCATTCAAGCTACTCTGTTCCACTCAACGGCGGTGCATACACCGCACTTTAATCAGTCACTCGCTAGGCGCTTATAGAGTTGTCACGTGTTGTGTTGATTTAAAAAAATCTCTTGATAAAAATATGCCGTCGTGTGTACTTAGATATTGTATAGATAATTCAAGAAATGTCAGTAAAAACCAAGGAATTACTTTTCATCGGTTAATAAGATACTTAATCAATAAAAAAGTATTATGTATTAATAATAAAACAAATTATTCCTAAAGGCGGATTTATATTTGCCTGACGTGTTGTGTCGTGCCGGGCTCTGATGTGATGGCTAGTGTTCACATCTTTATGTTGTGTTCTGACGGCCTCTGACGATATTTTGAATCAATACAGTCATAGCTCTCGACCGACTCTGATTCAGAGTATGAAGAAGATATTGAATTTTTGGTGCTGGCAAATCTTATAAAAAAGAAAGAAATAAAGAGAAGAAGATATTGGGTTCATCCAGTGAATAATAAAAGAGAGTCTAAAGGCGAGTTTCACTGTCTCGTTAAAGAGATTGAGAACGATGCTCAAAGATTTCATCAGTATTTTAGAATGTACAAGGCACAGTTCGAAGAAGTTCATTCATTGATTGAAGGGGACATAAAAAAAATACATACGAAGTTTCGTAAACCTATAGGGACAAAAGAAAGACTTGCTGTGTGTTTAAGGTAAGGATTTTTTTTTACATTATTAGTAAAGACAGGTAATCAGTTATCATCAGAAAAGTCTGCATTGCTATAATATGATGAGATGTTATCTTCTTCAAAATTATAAAGTGTTGAGGCCGATTGTTGAGAGTTAATGTTGTCGAGAGTTGGTGTAGCTGGGACTGCTGGAAATGTCATCATGTCATGTTGAATGGGTAGCTGGAGTGGCAGCGGTTGTTGTGGCCGAGTAACTATCTGGTGAGTCACATTAATTGGTGTTCTAAAAATTTGTGCTTGTGTCTGAAGTTTCCTTATTTCAGCTTGTGATACAGCAGTGTGCAAATCCAATTTTATTTTGGTCTGATCTAGTTTCGGAAGTATTTTAACTGCTTTGCTCATGCTCAGAAAAAACAAGTCTGTTTCATCCGTTATATTATCCTGCTCTGCTTTGAATGATGCTTATGGATTCTCAAATCGTGCGAAGACTTCATCATATCATATAGATCCTGTAAGTTTGGTTTTCTAACTTGGGAGTGCGAGGAACTACCAGTATGTGGTGTTGCTGGACGAGAATTGTCTGATTGAGTACTTTCTGAGTGAAATTCTGGAAATTCAGGAGGTGATGAAAGATTTGTTGTTGTCGACCTTGATTCCATAAATGGCTGTAAAAAACTCATTTGTTCTTCATATTTCCATGGCGGGATAAATTGAGCGGCTTGCCCACTTTTTTATTTTTACGGCGTTTCAATGCGTTGACGTAGCTATTTCGTAATTTATTCCAGTCATCTTTACATTTTTCCGCTGAAACAAAAATAAATTATCTGTGTTTTTATACAAGGTGTCTCAAAAGAAAGTTCACATTTAAATCTTTTTTTTAAAAGAAAAGTCTTAGCTTTATTGAAAAAATGTTTATTTTATATTGAAGTACACTGTTTGGGAATTTATTTTTTAAAAATAACATTGTCCAAATGTAAACCGTTGCGCTCTCGGCATTCATTTAGTCGGGCACTAAAATTGCCTATGACAGCTCGGCAGGTAGTCTCCGTGATGGCTGCCATTTCATGACGGATATTTTCTTTTAATTGTGCCAGGGAAGTCGGTTTATTAGCGTAAACTTTTGATTTGACATAACCCCACAGGAAAAAATCCATAGGCGTTAAATCGGGACTCCGTGGAGGCCAATTTATGTCACCTCGCCAGGAGATTAATTTGTTCGGAAAAATTTCTCGAACTCGAGGCAGAGATCTGTTGGACGTGTGTGAAGTTGCTCCATCCTGCTGGAACCATGTTCTTTGGTTGTAACCAGGAAAGTTTTGCAGTTGGGGTACGAAAAACTCGTCTAACATCTCCACATAACGCTCTGAATTCACTGTGAGTGTGCGTCCCCTTCCATCTTCAAAAAAGTAAGGGCCGATAATTCCTCGCGCCGACATCGCTGCCCATACGGTGACTTTGGGTGAATGTAGCGGTTTCTGATGTTTTTGTTTTGGGTTGGTTGCACTCCAGTAACGACAATTTTGTTTGTTTACATGCCCATTCAGGTGAAAATGGGCTTCATCGGAAAACAAGATGTTGGTGAACGTTGGAAAGCGCTCAATCATCTGATTTACAAAGGCAAGCCTCTGACCAGCATCTTGAGGCTTCAGTTCTTGCACTAACTGAATTTTGTACGGGTGCAGCTTTAAATCTTTGTGTAAAATGCGGCATAATGAAGATCTGTGCACATTTAAAGCAACAGCACGCTTCCGAATCGAGAGGTTTGGATCATCTCGAATAGACTGAGTAACACTGTCCACGTTTTCGGCTGTTCTTGATGTTCTTGGTCGCCCAGATTTTGGTTTCTCCAGAGTTGACCCAGTCTCTTCAAACTTCTCAACCCATTTTGCAATGAGACGAGTGCTAGGCGCATCATTTAAGTGACGAATATGTCGAATACTGCAGAATTTTCTACGCGCTACAGTCGCCGAATTACCGTTTTTGTAAAACTCACGTACGCACAACGCACGGTCCGCACCAGAGAAACGCTCCATAGCGACTAAATTCCCAAGAGCCAGACTACCGACTGACATACCCCCCCGCGCCCCTCAGAATAGTTGCTTTCGCGTAATAAGATAAGCAAATGTGAACTTACTTTTGAGACACCTAGTATTACAGATTTATGGCAACTGGAAATTCTTTTCGATCATTGGGGTTCAATTACCGTATGGGGTTTGCTACAGTAAAGATCATGTAGAACAAGTATGTAACGCAATTTGGAAGAATTTGGCCCCTATTGTAATGCCCCAGCCTACAGAACAAATGTGGAGAGAGATTGCGAAAGGATTCGAAAATGTATGGCATTTTCCGAATTGTATTGAAGCATTGGATGGAAAACATATTTCTATAATATGTCCAATAAATGCAGGATCCACTTTTTATAATTATAAAAATGAGCATTCTATTGTACTGCTTGCACTTGTTGATGCGCATTACAGATTTATTATGGTAGATGTAGGAGCGTATGACCGAAATAGTGATGGTGGCATTTACCAAGAGTCGTTAATGGGAAAAATGTTTGAAAGCAGTCAATTAAATGTGCCACCGAATAAACCTATAAACCAAAATACAGAACCTTTACCCTACACTATTGTGGCAGACGCGGCATTCCCACTGAAAACGTATTTATTAAAACCGTACAGTAAAGCTAAATTAGTTAACAATAACCCAAATAAAATATTTAGTTATCGCTTATCACGTGCTCGCCGTATTGTAGAAAATGCATTTGGAATATTACGAGCTAGATTTTAGAGTGTTTCAGGGACCTTTACAAGTACAACCAAACATGGCGGACAAGATCGTACTTGCTGGCTGCTGCCTTCATAACTTTTTGACCCAAGACACACAGGAAACACAAGAAACTTTGATGGATGAAAGCGAGGTGAGCGACGGTAATGGTTTAGTAGACATCGAACCGTTAAATAGAAATCCATCTCAAGAAGCTATTCAAGTTCGTGAAGCATATAAAACATATTTTGTAAGTCCCCAGGGACAAGTTCCATGGCAAATGCAAGCTATTACACAAGGTAGAACACGGTTTAATTAAATAAAGCAGTATAGTACTTACGGGGTTGTTTAATTTTTTCTCCTATCTTCCTCCCAAACAGATGCTCTAATGGATTGGTCCCTATATTCTTTACATTTGGTGTCATAAATCACTTTATATTGTCGTACTATTTCTATCAAGTCGTCCATATTTTAAATTCTTTTCTAAAACTTTAAATCGAGTGGATAAACAAAAAACGCACGTGGCTCTGACGCGTCACAACGCAATACTGTCGCGCATAGATAAATAAATATGTAGCAAGCTACATATACGACAGTGACTTAGTCAAGTTTCCCAACTACGCATTTTGGCGCTGCAGTCGCCCATTTTGACAGATGAGTAATGACTATACAATTTAGTATAGCTATGTATAGCTTAGGGATTGCAAGCACACATCCTTCAAATTATCGATATCGATGTTTAGTGGTGTTCTTATTTTATCGATATCGACATAAGTGCAATATACAGGAATAATATTACTTAATGAAACAATTATAATACATCTACCTTATTTATTTTTTATTCAAGCACACCAACATCATATACATACAAACGTAATCTTAGGATTACATTAAAGGCACATTAAGTCATATATACAAATTAGAAAATTGTACATAACATTTTACATAAATAAGTACAATTTGACGAGAAACAGAGCAATATTTATAGTTCATTAAATAAAGCAAATTAAACCACAGGAATCATATTTAAGTGCTTAATATTTTACTTTTCAAGTCATTTTTTATTAGAAGCAATGCTATCATTACAGCGCTTCACAAGTCCACTGCTGAACGTAGGCTTCCCCCAAGAAATGCCACAAATCACGGTCCTAAGCCACCAGCATATCCAGGTTGTCACTTCATCAACATTTTATTTACTTAAACATGTTTTTCTTAACCTAAAACTTTTATACTTCTTTAAGGCCAATTTTTGAGGTTCACCCATTTTAGATACATATTTTTCATCAATATCACCCTGTTTCAATATTTTATTATTTATGTTGCACCAATTGTGTCCATGTAATCTAATTAAAATATTGACGAAAAAGTTTTTGACAATTAAGGCATGCTTATCACACCCTAGGCAGGACAAATCAATAATTTTCTTTGCAAATTACTTTTTATATTACTTCCAATACAGCTATAATTCAGATAGTTATGAATAAAGTGGGTACCATCCCTGTACAAGATAAGGAATTTTTCGTTAGGGTATGCCAAATTATTATTTTTTAACAATTTATACTCTCTAAATTTAATGTAAGAGTGAATGTTTGTCTCAGTACTGCTAATATATGTTTTGATGCAATCCTTACAACGAATCGCTTTCGTTATTTTCCGACAAATGTATCCAGCAGTGTAAGCTGAGCAGTGGACTTTAATTTTTTCCATGACTACATCATTCACTAGCAATTTTTCTCCTGAACTTGCTTGTGAAGAAGATGGGAGATCTCGCAAAACACTGGTAGTGTTTTCCGAGTCATTTTCTTTATTATTATGAAGGTTTTTAAAAAGAACACTAACATTTAATAATGTTTCTCCATTATCCTCTTCACAATTAGAGAATTTGGAATGTGGACTAAGCATGTTAGATAATATCAAAGATTTAAAGGCATATATAAATGTGTTTGCATCTGGGTTAACATTTCTATAATTTATAGCTCTTATACGTCCAAAGAAATTCTCTAATGGGTCTTGATTAATATTCCTCGGATAATAATATTCTACAATATACTGTTCAAATAATAATTTGGAGACCCTTATAAAACTTTCAAGAGTTGTAACCCATCTTTGTTGGGATGGCACTCGCACAAGTCGAGGTTTTCCTGCTTTTGTAGCATGTTTGCTAATGGTGTCCACAAAAACCATTTTTTTTATTTTATTAATGGCCTCAATCCAAAAAGTGTGATGTTGTGAATTTTGTTTAACCGCTCGTATTAACTTTCCTCTTTGCACACCACCCGGGTATCCATTGACGCTGTCAAACAGTGTGTCGAAAAATTCAACAACTTCTGCTGTTGTGGCCATTGTTGCGTCGGAGTTTGCAGTATGAAAATAATCTGAAAAAAAAAGAAGTACTTTTTAATTTAATTTCTTTTACAGTTGGACCTGCAAATCTTTCGCCAAGACACTTTTTATTTGGTTACAACAGACTTTTTTTAACCATTTTTTTTACAAATTGATTTTTTTTACATGAAATTTTACAATAGTATATACATAAACTGAATAAGCCTACAAATCAATATAGCAATCGTTATTTACTGAGTGCATTTGTATATTTGAGCATAGCAGCAGTTCGAGCACTAAATACTTGAGCAGCTACCCTGACCTTCATTTTATTGATCTTTTTGCGATCAACATGATGAGCTGTTAACTTTGGTAGTGCCCTTGTGTGTCCCAATTTGCTATCCAAATCAAAAATGAACTCAATATCTTTCCAAGAGGCAGTTTTTGCTTCCCAAATTATATCTTTATTTAAAAAATTATTTCTTAAACCCTTTAAGAGATGAGGTGGGCCAAAAAATATGCTTAAATCGTGATCAGCAATATTAACTGATCCATCTGTAAAATAATTAAAATAAATAATATTTGTCATGAAGTAGAACTGGTTTTTAAGTAATTAAGAATGGTTCACACCATCATGAACACCTTGAATATTCCGCCTACGAATATTATCTTCCCTAAGTCTTCTTATTGCTGTTCGAAATGTGGACCCTTGGTCACAAACAAGACCTAAAGGTATTAACCCAGTTCGTATTACTTGGGACACAATCTGCTTTAAAATGCATTGCAGCTCTGCTGCTGATACTGTGCCTTCACAGAAATAAAATGCTACACTCTGTCTCCATGGAGAGCATATTCCTCTTAGCATAAAAACTAAAGCATGATCACAATATTTTAGTTTTCTCTCTCCAGCTATATCTACAAACCCATTAATTATATCATCTTTCTCATTAAAAGTTAAATGTGGTGTCAGAGAGACTTCATCAAAAACTATTGTGCATAGCTTTTGTTTAGTGTCCCATTTTTTTTTGTTGTATTTGATATACATTATGTGTACTAAATATCGGGAATTTGTCAATAAAACAAAAAATACAAATTATTCATCTAAATTTATTTTATCGCCTTCAAAGTAGGCTCCATCGCTTGCAATACAACATCTCCAACGCTTCACCCAGTCTTCCAAACATTTTTCATAGGCTATTTGCGGTATGGCCTTTAGCTCATTCAGCGAATTTTTTGTTATGGCTTCTATCGACTCAAAACGTTTTCCTCGAAGTGGTAATTTTAACTTGGGAAATAAAAAAAAGTCAGACGGAGCCATATCAGGTGAATACGGTGCTTGGTCGAGAACTTTTGTTGAATTTTTTCGCTAAAAACTCTTTCAATATAATGGCTGCGTGTGATGGTGCATTATCATGGTGCAGCATCCATGAGTCGTGTTGCCACAAATCTGGACGTTTTCGGCGGATACTCTCACGCAAACGCTTCATGACGCCTAAATAATATTCTTTATTCACTGTTTCTCCCTTTGGAAGGAATTCGGAGTGAACCACACCACGGTAGTCAAAAAAAAAACTGTCAGCATCACTTTGATTTTGGAGCGACTTTGCCGGCGGTTTTTTGGGTTTCGGCTCGTTTTCGAGACGCCATTCTGAAGACTGTTGGCTTGTTTGTATGTCGTACTCATAAACCCATGTCTCGTCGCCAGTTATTATACGTTTCATAAAGGTCGGATCCGTAGAAGCTCGGGAAACCATGTCTTCAGCGACATGCTTTCGCTGCGCTCTTTGAACAAACTTGAGCTCTTTTGGAACTAGTCGAGCGGCGACGCGTTTCATGCCTAAAATGTCAATGAGAATGTTGTGGACGGACTTAAAAGATATGTTCACCTCACTAGCCAACTCTCTCAGACTCATACGTCGATTTTCGAGCACTAGCTTCTTGATTTTGTCGATGTTTTCTTTGGTCGTAGCGGTTGAAGGTCTACCAGAACGAGGCAAGTCTACTACTACTTCTCGGTCTTCTTTAAAAGCCTTATACCATTCATAAGCCCTTGTTTTCGATATACACGATTCGCCGTAGGTATTTCGCAACATTTTTAGTGATTCACCACATGAAATATCATTCGAAACACAAAATTTAAGGCACACTCTTTGTTCAATAATATTTTCCATTGTAAAAATCGCCGAGAACTCAAAACTATGACCAACAAAAAGTGTAGTTTAAAACAAATTAAATGACAGATCCCGCTCAAACTTTGCGCGCTAAATCAGTACAGTGCTACCAACATGCAGTAAAAAAATTAGAACGATCTCTTTTACGCGGGTCTTTTTATTGACATATTCCCGATACTTTTTACACAGAGTAGTATGTTCGAATATTAATGGATTGAGTCCTGCTTGTATTGAAACCTTCTCAGAAAGTCTATTTAATGTCAGTTTACTAGGCAAGGCAAACATTTTTTCTAATAGTTTATAACGTTTGGGGCTTTGTTTCATTATGAGCAATGCCATTAATTTTTCATCTAAGGTAAACCTTCTGGCCATTTTGCTTTTATGAATTTGTTTTAATTGCATAAACAAGAAAGTCTGAGCTTTTTTGTTTAACAAATAAAAGTTTTCCAAAAGGTCTTTATTTCTTGACAGGGATTGGGCTTGATCAAGTCTTTGTGATACTGAGTCACTTAAAGTTTCAGTTGCAATATTAGTTAAAACTTTAACCAATTTTCTTTTCCTTGATACTATTTTCTTCGCCATGTAATCTGAAGTGAAATAAATAAAATAATTAAATTATATATTCATATTTTATGACTGAATGATACACTTAAAATTATTAATTTTTTATTTATATATTTTTATTTTAATCTTTTAATATATTCACTTTGATAAGATAACGAATAAAGTGGATGTCATCAGGGGAAGAGTTCCAGAAAAATGTAACCTTAACAGTAAAGGACTTGTTGATAAAACCATTGAAGTGTAGTGGAACTGTAATGTTGGGATTAGGTGAAGAAAAAATAACTCTTATTGTGATTTGAGGTAGATATTGAAACTTTTTCTAATTATGTCTAAGAATAAACTGAATTTATCATACCTGTTTGCTTTTTTGTACATGTGCTACCTATTGGCATCATTTGTTTCACCACATTAGCATTAGAATCAATTCCTTAAAAGAAGCTATAGTTATGAATGTTATGGTCTTAAACATAAATTAAATTTACAATGTATGCTTCTCTGTATTGTATGTCTAAATTAAATACACATAACTATCCTCTAGAACTGATGCAGTTCCAGGTATGCAGTGACACCTCCAGTCCACAGCCTGTTTTTAAGCATTTAAAGTATTTTTTCTATTACCTGATATATGAGTACTTCTTTTAATTTGATCCCAACATAAATGTATAAAAAATTATGTCCAATACAATTTCACATACCTTTATTTTCTACAACTGTTGCAACAGTTGAAAAATTTGAACATGAAGGCTGTTCATGAGAATTTCCAACATTTGGAATTTGTTACAAGATTGCATTTTTATAGATGTCAGTATGATTAGGCAAACACATTATTAGAAAATGAATGGTTAGTAAATTTATGAAATAGTTAGAAAGCTTTTTTTGCTACTTAGTAACTAGTGCTACATGAATATTAGTACACACCTGACGATCCAATCTCTACCGATGATTTGGAACAATCATTTTGCTCTTTGTAGTAATTGTGTTCAATTGTAACATCACTTCCTGAAAACATTATTCAAAATGTTGAAAAATTTGCCACTGACTGAAATTTAAATAAAATATTTTTAGAAATCAGTGTTCATCATAATATGTTTATGGAACAATCATTTTGCTCTTTGTAGTAATTGTGTTCAATTGTAACATCACTTCCTGAAAACATTATTCAAAATGTTGAAAAATTTGCCACTGACTGAAATTTAAATAAAATATTTTTAGAAATCAGTGTTCATCATAATATGTTTACTATGATTTACAATTAACATCAATTAAGATATTTGTACATACCAGGCTTTCTAACCACTAACACAGCTTCTGTGAAATCATCTTCATTTTGCTCTTTCCAGTAATTATGTTCAGTTGTGACATCCCATCCTGAAAAAATTACATAATCATAGCAAATAATGATGTAGAGTCAATGACACAAATGGTCGTACTGTTATCTTGTTAATACTTGGGCCCAAGAATGTATAGAGACGTCTCCTTCTCTTTTAAGTACCATGGTTGAAAGTAATAAAATGACTCACCAGTTGCAGTCAGAGGCACACCATGAGCTATTTCATTGTCAGTAATCAAAGACGGGTAAGAGTATCGAAGTCTTCTGCCTTCATTGCCGAACTGAAATATATCAAAATGTTTTTCACAGACACGTTTGTTAAGTAACTGTTCTTTGGAAAGTACAATGAACTGGGAATTTGTCGGCAATATGAAAGCCAACCACAAGTTCCTTAAATTATCGTTCCTAGGGAATCTGAAAAGCCGGGGCGTTTCACGTGTTGTATTGCAACCACCAACACAACACTTTTCGTATACCATTATGATGATATATGCAATATTCACACGAGCAGCACAAAAACAGAATATTGTAATAATTGAGGAAAATTTAGATAAATAATGGCGGCAATCAATATCGATAGTTTTGATTTTTGACAATATGATTTGACATTAATACAATATGGCGTCTCAAAATGGCGTCCGTAGGCAGAGTACAAATTGCGACGGTAGCGCCAAGTTGCGTAGAATGGAACTAAGCTGTCACGGGCCTGCTGTCGCGTGCACACTTGTCTGCTGCGTCGCTAGGCGGCCGCTCCCCCGCCCACCTACCTCCACCCCTCTGATGCGATCGGAATCTCGTCTGATGCGTCGCATCAGAAGCCATCACAACAGATCGCGACACACAAATATAAATCTCACCATACTAAATGTATGAAACCGATACCATTCTGATGCGTCACAACACAACACGTCAGACAAATGTAAATCCGGCTTTAGACGCCATCTCGTGTCAGGGAATATAGATTATGAAATTAATATGTTCAGACGCGACATTTCTGTGGGTACTTAAGTATAGTTTTTGTAGAAACATATATAAGTTATTATGATTTGGCAAAATTTTTCATGTTTAAATCTGCTCATTATTCTTTTATTTTATTTTTAGGTTTCCACTTCAAAGTCAAAGTGATATAAATTCGTTCATTTTTAACTCTCGCGTGCCCAGCATTTATAAACCTCTGTTGTTCTAATTTAAATAAATATATTAGTAAATTAAATGTTATGTTAATAAGTTTTGTTAAACATACATTTAGTATGTTTTTTATATTTGACTTAGATAACTTTTAAAATATTCAGATAAAAATATCATTAAAATGTAATTGTGATATAATATCATGTAATATTATATTAAATAAGCAAATATAATATACAAAATAAATGACAAAATTTAAATATTGTTCTCGATATAATTTACCTATTTAACAATACAATCTACTATTACCTACGGGTCATTCTACCTATGTTTATTCTATGATAAAAAAACAACCGCGCGAACACAGAGTAGCGCACATTTTTTGTTTGAGATAGCTGTTCTAGTACGTAAGTACATATTACTTCAATGAGAATGTGTAATCTATGTTAGTAAAGTTTTTAAGAGCTTTGGGGCTTTAGCATTAATTTTTTATCTTTCAATAATATCAAGGCGTGGGGGAAGACTGTATGGGTATATTTTAATGTGACCCCTTAGAACAATTCTTTTTTAAATGTTTTTTATAAGAACTATACAACTGAAGTACTAAATTTTATTAAAATTAGTCGATTTACTTCAAATGACTACCCATCCGCCATTATGCTACTTAACTATTAGAACTGCTTCGGCTTCACAGGATGATGTACTTGTCACATCTTGTAGATTTATTCATTTGTAACGTTAGACATTACATACATCATTCTTGTTACATTTGTAACATACACAGTATTATTTCATTTGTAACGTTTATTTTACCAGATTTCTGCCTTAAAGTTATCAAGTTTTTTTGAAAACCTCTAAATGACAACTCAACTCAACTCAAATGAAACTGTACCTATTGATTTTGTATCTATTATCTATTGATTTTAAAATACTATGTTGGATTTTATTAATGAAATATTTCTGTAACATCACCATCTGCACGGTGGGACAAGTACTACATCTTCGACCTACGACCAAAGCCGACGTAGTTTATTTAATGGCGCTATTATTATTAATTCCGCATAGGTTCTATAAATTAATTGACAGAGCCTGGTTTTGAAAATCAAAAAAATGACCTTGGCCTGTAAAAGTAGTAATTATATGATACCTGACCACAGGTCAGAAGGAGTTGAATCGATACAAAATCTAGGAGGTTAAGAAGCTTACAACACTAGAATTTTAACTAATTTTATTATCTTCGTCAACCTTTCTGATGTCTTGATTTAAATTGGCTAATGAAAAAAAAATCTATCTGCATTAATGAATTGTGAAAGGTTTTTATTTAATGTGTAAGAATTTTCTGTGATTTTAATTTTATATGTTTTCCCTTTTATGACATAATTTGAATTGTTATTAAATTATGTTTTCTGTATGTACAAGATTATTAGTGTACATTTAATTCATTATTAATTTAAATTTAAATAATTTTATTTTAACAGCAAATTATAGATCTCAGATAAATGGTGTTTTATTTTCCTAATCTACTTAACTGATTGCATTTTCTATACATAACTTTTATTAATGTATAGTGAACCAAATCTAAGAAATACCTTTTGACGTTTCACATCAATCATTCCGCAATAACTTTGCACAAGCATACTCACACGATTTAAAATAACCTTTTACGTAAATCCGAAGAATTATGAAGTTATCTATATTTAATTACAACGTGTATAGGTTTTTATCGCTTATTTAAATTCGAATCTTTCAAACAAAGCAAAATATTAAGAAATAACCAATATGAATAATTTTACTTGACGTCGCGTCGTTTCAATGATATGTCGCTATGAACCTTACCGTAGTGTTTGAATGTTTAAAATTCATTGTTATGCGAATAATGGGCAAAAATATTCAAATAATTGATAAAAATATTCAAATAATCGAATCATTAATTTTTTTATGTATTTTTTAATTAAATTTTTATTTTTAACATTCCTAAAATAACATGAATCATGAATAAAGTAAGTTTTATTTTTTATTTTGTAAATTTATGTAGGCAAAAAAACTCATATAAGGCCGCGCTGAAAAAACCACTACGTATTTTCAATCTCCCCCATTTCGTGAGCTTACTGTGCGTAATTTTGTGTTTGTCTTCTTATTTTGTGACTCAGCTTTAACTTTATGAACTATTTCTTATATATACGTGTGTGTGTTGAGCATATGCCCATGTCACAAAGGTTGATTGGGCAAAAGTGGTAGAAAAACAAAAAAATTATTATGGGTGACTTTGAAAGAGACATTAATTTTGACTGCATAATTAAAAATCAAATAATAATTAATCTAAACAACGACAGCTCTCCTAGTTGTACTGAAAGTTATTGAATAAATTATTTTTAATCTAGTTTCAATCTTAAAATTTTATAATTGTGCCTCTAGAAATAAGCAGTAACAACAAATGAAGAAACTGATAAATCTTGTGTTTTTAATTAATTCTGGTATTATTCAAACCAAAGTGTAAATGATTATCAACTAAATAATCGATATCGAGTTTTTTAAAAATCGAATATTGTACGTTCCCATTTTTTGGTTGGCATACTTGGTGCAATTAGTCTGATAGCTGTCAAAATGTATTTCTTAGATTTGATTGACTATAGGTCATTGATATACATATGAATTACAACAATACAAATAATGTAATGACAAAATCACAGCTTTTTTACTAAATGCATATTATTAAAGACATTTAAACGTAGACAGAAAAACCTATAGACTAATGATTAGCGTGACCTCGGGTGAGAAAGGATGACAACGTAGTTTTAGGTTATACAATAATCTTTATGACTTTTAAACATTGAGTTATACAACACTAGAGGAGCAAACCACATTACCGCGCGTCGAAAAAAATGTAACCACTATCCAAACGCGACGACGTAGCTTTGAAACTAATAACAATTTTAAGTAAACATATATCTATCTCACTTACACAAGTTGCAAAAACAATATCATCGTCGTAAGATTAGATAAAGATAGACACACAAACATGCAATGGCGGGTTGGTGTGGCTTACTATACGAAATTTTACCTAAAATACGCAATAAAAATGAGTTTTTTTTAGCTGCAGTTAATTGTTTTTATATTAAAAAAGTATATTTTATTTTAAAATCTTTATTACGTCCCCTTAGAAAAAAAGGGATACAAAGCTTATCAAATGAATAGAAGTAAACATAATGATGAAATAAAACGTATTTTATTGGTTCTAATAAATCAAACAATATAAAATAGGTATCTAATAAAATATAATTAATATAAAATTTATATGAAATTATAAATAATATAAAATTTTTAATATAAAATAGGTAATAAAATAAATTTAATAGATAAGAATAATTAATTATTTTGTATGAAAGTTAAAACGTAGTTTTTACTATAATTTCCAAAATATTTAAAATCAGAGGTAATAAATTAACTTACTCCATTAATTATTAGTCTCCCATTAATGTAGGATAATCACAAATGCGGAAAAGTGGCAACATTGAACCTAAATGGCAATATTCGATAATTTTATTTAATTATTTGAGGTTTTTTACGTTTATATGAAAACAAGAACTAAAAATTATGTGTTGAAAGTGATGCCGCTTGATTTATTACGTTTTTGTGACCTTGAATAGCATTCTTTCACTACACATTTACCCATTTTTGTCGCGACTCAACTCTGTCGGCGTCACATTGAACAATGAACTCACGTTAGCTAGGCATATGGCTGTGGCCATATGTGCAGTGGCAACGCTTTGGCGCGGTTATTACTGATCGAGGGTTATATAAATCAATGCTTTTAAACATATTTAGATAAAAAATTTAATTGTTCTAAGAACTGAACTGAACAAGATTCGCCAATCTAAAGCTCACAAAATACTTTTCTCACTTAAACCAACTTGTAAACTCCTTAGATCGCTACGAACTGTCAAAGTTGTTTAGCAAAGTTTAGTTTGCTAAATAAAAAACCAGCACGGAGAAAGGGACAAACAATCACTCCACTCTGTCTCATTTCTATGCAAGACGTATGCATAAATCTATATTTTTCGTATGCGAATGCGAAAGAAGGCGTCAATTTGTCTATAGGTTTCTCTGTCTACGCATTTAAATATATACACATATGAAAGTATATACGAATCTTTAAAAAACATATATAAAATTGTTGTCTGCCTGGCTGTCGTCTATCTTTCTGTCTGTATGTTTTCCTTATTCTCAATTATGGCTGGACCGATTTTGACGGGACTCACTGGCAGATAGCTTATGCTATAAATGAGTAACTTTTATATTGGAAAAAACATTCACATTCCGCCTGTGGCATCGCTTCCGAGCGGTAGCATCC